AATTCGTAACCACTACGCTACCAGAGCTCCTTTTACTTACTGGATACATAGACACAAAAACTGAATTGTGGTAAGGCAAACAGGGTTACACCCACAAATATCTATAGGCTGAACAGAGGCTACGGAGCCCTGGTGTGGTGCTGTGGGATAAAGCCCTGGACCGCAAGGTGAACCGTAAGGTCGCGCGTGGTTCAAACTCACCAGCTGTTCCTTGGAAATCCTATCCAGGGTCACTATGAGTCAGAACTGACTTAATGACACTTAACAACAACAATGGAGGCTATCTTACAACATGTATCAATACATATATGCTGTGAATACAGCAGACCATACAGGGGACATCTTAGCCAACACCCTGAGGGAATGAGTAAGTAGCTGGACCTGGGAAGCACCCTACTTTGGTGAGAAGCAACTGAGGCCCTAAGAACTTGTGAGCAGCCATCTAGGGTCCAAGTACTGATCTCTCCCCATCCAAAGCAAAGAAGAGTGGACACAATCTGAGACACAATTAGCAACAAGGGTTAATGGTCCAGGTGAGTCACAGCCTCTACAAACCTGAGATTCAAAGAACGAGATGGTGCTTACCTACCACTACCAACTGCTCCAGAAGGAAACCACTTTGGAAGGTACTAGCTAGAGTGAGAGAAAAATGTGGAGCAAAATTCACAATCATACTGTCAGGCTTGCTGGTCTGATCAAGACTAATGGAACCTCCCACACAGTGGTCCTTAATCACCTGTCAAGCTTAAACTGCAGTCATGCCTATGGTTCAAATCCCCACCAAGCAACAGACAAACCTACGGAGGGAACAGGAACACCAGGGAGAGACGCACTTCTTGGAACCAACCACACAAGCTCAAAAGGACAGCATTTGCTCAGGAATAAATCTCAGAAGGCAAGCTGGGATGGGAAAGGATGAACAAAATGGGGAAACACAGGGAGTTTCCCTAGTGGGAACAATGATGCAACATTGTGGGGGTTGCCGTCAGTGTCATGAATTGAAATGTGTATGAATTGTTGAATTGGAAAACCAATTTCCTCTATAAAATTTCACCCACTTCTTAAATAAAACATAAAATCGTTTTGAATTCCATAGGTGAATTTTCTGTGTATCTCTGAAGAAGAATTACCATGCTAGAAAGCAAGCTCTTTGTTGGGTGAGATCTTTCCTTTCTGTTTGTAGTTGCGTGTGCTTGACTGAATAGTTAATGGATTGGTGGGGAAGAAGAGGGCTGTAGAGCTGGGAAGCCCCTCCCTCCTTTCCAGGTGCCAGCCCCGCCCTCTTTGCCTTCAGATAGTGCCCCCACTTCAAATCTACTCTTGTGACTCAGACCCCCAAGTAATGACAAAGTAGAAGAGAACAATTCCTGAATACAGCCGAAAGTCAGATGGTGAGGGGTGGGGAAGGCCAAAACCAGCCACCGAGGCCTGGATGAAGAGACCAGACTGACTGACCTTCCCCAGCAGGCCAGAACACCAGTCCGTCCCCTCCCACCAACAAAACAAACTGGAGGAAGGGGCTGCTAAGGACAGGCCCCTCACCCATTAAAGGGCCCAGGCAGAAATGAAAAAGGGTTTCCATTCCCGTCCCAGCCCTTCAAGGTGACCACAGGAGGGAGGGACTGCCTATCTGAAAAGGACCAGGCTGGAGTCGGGGGATGGGAGGCTGGGTGGAAACCCCGTAAGTGTTGAGTCCAGTGCGGGGTTAGGGGTGGGACCAGAAAAGCTGAGGACTGTTTGAGGGGGTCCTGGAGCTGTCTGTGGAAACCGCATTTATCCAGACCCAGCACAGTGCCCAGGTGGAGTCTCCCTAAGTCTCCGCAGAGGGGAATCCTCGTGGGGGACTATGGCCGTTCCTCTCTCCCCGATGTCTGCAGGATGTGGATGTCCTCATGTGAAAAGTAACACCCACCAACCAGGTCATGTGATCACATCGTCTCCCCAGTTCCTCTGAGGGATTCTAGGGGGCAGTCACTCGGAGTCCCAGAGGGTCCTGACTCAAGACCGGGAACCCCAGAGGCTGTGCATAGAGACTCCAATGCTTCCAGTCCCTGGCGCACAATGGAAGCCCCGCTTCGAGCATCAGTCCCAGGTAGGGGCTCGAATCCTGACGCCTCGAATTACCGAGGAAAGCAGCGACGAGCCGGACAGTTCGCCCAAGCCGAAACTGGGGCCGGTGCCTGGGCAGAGGATCCGACTAAAGATAAGCGGGCCATCTGGCGAGGGTCCTGGACCCACCCTTCCGCCGGCTCGCCCCGCGCCGTCTACGTGTAACCCCGAGATTTCTTCTGGCCTTAGCCGGAAAGCGGGGTCGCCCAGATTCTCTGCCCCACCCCCAACTTTGAGCCTGGCGGGGCGGAGCGTCACAAAGACCCTCGGTCCCCATGGCAACCTGTTGGATCTCTTGCTGCGCGAGGCACAGCGCCAACGGCTCTGGACACGGCGCTGCGCGGCTCTGCTCGGCTCACAGAGGCAAGTGGGCGCGGGGGACCGCGGGAAGGCGGCGCGAGGGGCACCAGGCCTAGGGAGAGACGGCTGAAGGGCGGGGAGACGTGGAGGCGGGCCCGAGCCAGGAGTGCAAGGCGTCCGGGGATTTTTCGACCAGCACCTCTGTGGTTTTCCAACTGGGAGGCTGTCAGAACCTGGGAAACTCCCTGGCCTCTTGTCAGATCCGGAGGAGGCTAGCCTAGGCCCCTCCAGGCTCCTGATCCGCTACAGCAGTGCTGCTGAGACCCCAAGCTGGGAGAAGTGAGTTGTGCCTGGACCCTGGACAGAGACAACCCTTTGTACCTCTGCCTCCTCTTCATCTGTGAAACGTGGAAGAAGCCCACCCATTCTGGGACTTGTTCCTGGGGTCGATGATTACTGTGGACCCACGGGATCCGTTCTCACAGAGCAGCAGTGATCCTAGTACCGCTCAGACAGGCTCACCCCAAGTCCTCTCAACAACCCTGGCTAGACACCATCACCCCATTTCATAGAGGAGAAACTGAGGCCCCTACACTGTCTTATTACCATGACTGACAATCCACCTTCCAGCTCCTCCTCCCAGAAAAGTGGTCCTCACAGCCCCTCCCAGGGGAGGACAGGACTAGTGTGGGGAGCAGTGGACCTGGGTTACCACACCTATGTGCCCTGGGGTGGGTGGCAGAGGCCTGTGTGCCTGGGACTAGACCCCAGAGTAGGGAGGCTGAAGGTAGTTAAGCTGCCAGCTCATTCCTTCCCTCCTCCTCCAGCTCCCAGACAATGAACTTCCAGGTGAAGAGCCTGAGCCTGGACAAGATGAAGCTGGACAGTCCCCAGACCTTCCTGGAACCGGAGGAGGCAGAAGAGGCAGAGGATGGGCAACTGCTGGAACCGGAGGCCTGGAGGACCTATGTGGAGCGCCGTAACGCACTGCGTGAGTTCCTGACCTCAGACCTGAGCTTGCACCTGCTCAAGCGTCACCATGCCCGTGTGGAACTGTTGCAGAAGTGCTCCTACTACATCGAGATCCTGCCCAAGCACTTGGCTCTGGGTGATCAGAATCCTCTGGTGTTGCCCAACGCCATATTCCAGCTCATCGACCCCTGGAAATTTCAGCGAATGAAGAAAGTGGGCACGGCACAGACCAAGATCCAGCTGCTGCTGCTTGGTGACCTGCTGGAGCAGCTGGACCGTGGCCGCGCCCAGCTGGATGCCTTGCTTGAGTCACCTGACCCTCGGCCCTTCCTGGCTGGCTGGGGGCGTGTGGAGCATCGGCTGGCAGACCTGGCAGCTGTCATGGACAATTTCTTGACCATGATGGTGCCAGGAAGGTTGCACATCAAGCACCGGCTGGTATCGGACATTGGTGTCACCAAGGTCCCGCACATCCGGCTCATGCTGAGCACCAAAATGCCCGTCATGTTTGACCGCAAGGAGTCAGTAGCCCACCAGGACTGTGTTAGCCTGCGCTGGTTTGTTACTATTCAGCCAGCCGCACCTGAGCAGTTCGAGCTGCGCTTCAAGCTTCTGGAACCTCAGACCCAGCAGGAGTGCACACAGTGTGGCCTCATCCCCGTGGCCACCTGCACCTTTGACGTCCGCAACCTGTTGCCCAACCGTGCTTACAAGTTCACCATCAAGAGGGCCGAGAGCTACACACTGGTATATGAGCCCTGGAGGGACAGCCTGATCCTGCACACCAAGCCAGGGCTTCCTGAAGGGGTCCACCCCCTGCTGGCCAGGCCCGTCCGGCCTGCCCCCAACCACACCTTCTGACAGATGATTTTCTAGTATTTTATCCACTAATAAAGAGGAGTATACACACATGTGTCCCGTATAGACACACCGGCTGACTTTTTCCAAGGAGCCCTATGTCCTGGCCAGGCCTTTGCCAGGGTTTCCAAACCTAAGAGGGATTTTACTTCTAAAATGATAGTCTATCTTCTCCTCAAACTTCTCTGTTACTGAGTCAACTCCACACAGGGACCCCATGAGAACAGCCACTTAACCCCCCAGTTCTGATGGAGTGTCACTCCAGGGATCTCCAGCTGTGGACTTACCCAAGTCCTCCTTGGCATCCAGAAGGCCTAAACCATTCCCCTCTTGTGTGCCTATCGGGACTTGCTCCTGGATGTCCCAGGATCCCGCCATTAATGGGTTGGGAGGAGGTCCGGCATGAGTTGTGCTCGAGAGAAATGTTGGGGGAGATGGAGACAGAGGTCTCACAGGATTCAGAGGCTAGAAACTGGAGGAGACTCTAAGACTGTGAGCAGGAGCAAGGGCAGGCGGAAGGGGAAGAGATGGGATTAGGGGCATTACAGAAACTGGTGGTCTTGAGGCCCCAGAAGGGAAAGCACTGGGGGGGTGGGGGTGGGGGGAGGTGCTCTCCTTGCCTCTCATTCAGGCTCACAGCACATCTCTGCACTTGCTCTTCCTTCGAGAATCCCTGACCGACTCAGTGAGATCCGGGACACACATTCTATGGCTGCCCTAGACAGACGTTCCCTTGGAAGGCAGGGCCCATCACTGTCCTGTCCCTGCAGCCACACAGCATCAGGAGCAAGTATGCAGAACTTACACAGCTGCGCCAACACCTTGTTTCTCTGTCCGTGATTCCCGTGCCAACCTGACTCCTGTGCTGCAGGCTTAGAGCCTAGGGCCCTCCCCTCCTGCCACCATTTTCCAAGAAAGGTGCATTCCTTCATCCCACAAACCTGGCACCACCTGCTGACCTGCCCTAGTCTAGGTCTGTAGACTCCGAGGAAAGCTAGGCAGATGCTAAAGGACCACAGACTGGCCTGGCGGAAGTGGGTGGTGCCCAAAGCACTGGGGAAGTAATTTTAGACCCAGTGCCAGGCTCCACACTGCCGAGCTGCAGCTGCAGGACTTTGGACTTGGCCCCACAGCCACCTTTGGGGCCAGCCAGACTGGTAACAGCAAGCCCCACACCAGCCTCCTGCCATGCTGCAATGACAAGCTTCAGAACGCCATGTCCTCAGCATGGTGATGCCACCCTCTGTGTCCAGCAGTCCACCCATGAGCAGCTCTTGAGGGGCTCATCTGCTGGGTCCCAGCCCCAAAGCAAGAGGAGGCACTCCACGAGACCTCAAACCACCAAGACCAGGAAGGGCTTTCAGCAGCGCCTTTATGAAGAAGTAGAATTCAGATATAAGAGTGCAGTCTGGAGGTACAAAGGCTGGAATGTACAACTGGATTGGTAAAAAACCTCAGAATCAAGCAGCAAACATGGCCCCACCAAGGGGCCCACAGCAGGCAGTGGGGAGTGAGGCCCACACTCGTAAGCAAAGTGCAGCATCCCCAGACTGTGTGAAGACTCTCCAAGCAGGTGGGCCTGCACCCAGACAAGTGCTCTGCTGTCGGGGGTCAGAGCTGTCTTGGGGTGGGGCTGGGCAGGGGCAGAAAGCAGGGCATTGACGATTGTCTCCAAGGTCTCTGTGCCCAGGGATGCCTACCGCCCCGGCAATATTGCACAACCCGGCTCTCCAGATTCCAGCAGAGCTGTTGCTGGTGTGGGGTTAGGCTTTGGTCCGGCTGTCCCCTGCCTGCCAGTCACTGGGACTGTGGGCCCCAGACTTAGACTCAGGCAGTGGTGTCAAGAGAAGGACCCTCTTATAGGAAGGCCACCTTGCCCTGAGCTTGAGCTAAGGTCCCTGTTCAGTAAAAAAACAGAAAACACTGGCTTTTGGTCTATTAAAAAAACAAAAAATAAAAGCTAATCTCTGTGGACATGACCCAATGTGGCCATACAGCAAGCAGTAGCCTCAAAGGGGTTTCCTTCATAACCTTAAACGTTGCCAAAGGTACAGGGACCTTCTCAATATGACTGCTCTGAGAAGTTTCCCTGTCCCAGGCAACGGGGCAGAGAAGGGAGCACATGGGGATTCGCCCCAACCCTGTTCTACGGAAGTTTATACATAGGCCGCCCCTGGGGAGGTTCCTTATTGCTGGATGAGTCCCCGCCCGGCCTCAGGACCCTTACCCAGGGAGGCTGGCGTGGTGGCCAGTCGGCTGACGGGCGAAGGCACATGGGGATTCTCTGAGTGGGGCCCTCCGAGGCAGAGCGCAGAGGGGAGGGGAGGGGAAGAGGATGGGGAAGGAGGTCCTGGGAACTCTTCAGTGGGACATAGCTGGCTTCCTCCACACCCGCACCATGTGGGCAGGCACGAGGCTCTGCTGAGAGTCACAGAAGTCCAGAAGTCGGCGCCAGAGAGGACAGCAGCGTAGGAGGAGGTGGTCTCCTAGGAAGGGAGGAGTCGGAACAGTGCCACCCCTGGCCAGCCCCTGACAGGTAGTACCTCCCCCTGAGGCACCCGCCCTCACCAATGAGGCAGAGCCCCTCCTGGGCGCGGGTGAGGGCCACGTTCACTTGGTTGGGGTCCACCACAAAGCCCAGGAACTTCTTGAGCCAGCTCTTGGTGGGCCGCTGGTCCACGTCACTCTCGAGGCATGTGCGCACAGTACTGAGCAGCACATAGCGCCACTCGCTCCCTAGGAGGTGTGGGGGGAAGGGGACACGGTAAGGATCCTGTCGGTGCCCACCCACATGCACTTGCACCCACCCCCACACAGCCTCACCCTGGCTCTTGGTGATGGAGGACACGGTCACTCCAGTGACACCCTCTCGCAAAAGTCTCTTGTTGATCTCAGCCACCTGTGCATTGTAGGGGGTGAGAATGGCGATGTCTTTGGGGTCCACTGTCCTGTCCAGGGTCAGCTGCTTGGCAATTCGGACCTGAGAACAGAAGATGTGCCCATGAAACCGAACCTGGAACTCTGGCAAGCTCCCCAGATGGTGTGGCCTCCTTCTCCTCCCAGAAGCTCCCTGATGCCACCCCAACTCCAGAAAGCTTCCCTAAAACTCCTTTCTGCTCCCCAAAGCTCACAGCACCTTTCTCTTCCAGGAAATGCCCAGGAAGCCTCTTGCCCACACTCACCACCTCCATCGCCTCCTCCAAATTGGCCTTGGAGTTCTCGTTGCCTTCTTCTGTGGACACCAGCAGCCTCTGTTCATGGCCCTGCAGGTGCCCAAAGATGACGGCACAGCTCCTCTTGTTTGCGTGGCCCAGGATGCTGGGGGGCCGGCGTAAGCCCTGCCCAGTCTTCAGCTTGCCCTTGTAGAACTCCGTGGAGGGGAAGGTGCAGATGTCCTTGTGCTGCAGGGGAGAGTCAGTGGGCAGGGACCACAGCAGTATGGGAGTGGACAATGGCATCTCTGGGCTCAACTGAGCAGGCTTACCATTCGATACTGTGTGTCCAGCAAGTAAGCGTCATTGTGGTATCTCTCGAAGAGGGACCGTTCCAGCCCCAGATTCTGCAGGTGCTCGCTCTTGACTACAGGTCGAAGCTGCTTGTGGTCCCCCAGGAGCACCACCTGGAGAGAAGCACCACCGGAGGTGTGAGTAGGTCCGGTACCCAGCCCCTGACATCTTCACTCCACAGAGACCGTCAGCTTACACCCTCAGCAAGCCCAGGTTAAACCCACACTATGTGGCTCCATGGAGGAGCCCAGCGCCCTACTCCCCACCATGCCCCGATGTCCACCTTCTCAGCCTTCGGGAAGTGCACCAGGGGGATGAGAGTTTCAGGCTCGGTGGCCATGCCCGCCTCATCGACCAGAATCTGCCAGATGTCCATATGCTTGAGGCTGACTGAGGCTGAACAAGAGCAGGTACACAGGATGACCGTATGTTTCTCCAGCTCAAACCGCCGTGCCTTCCGAAGGGTCTTCTTGTACCTGCTCGAAAAGGGGGGGG